TGCCACTCTCTATGTAGAAATATATTGGCAATAAAAACCAGTCACTGTGTGCCTTTCCTCAGTAGGGGATCTCTCACTTTTCTTTGATTTTTAAAGGCTTCAGATCAATAACTGGAGTGACATTATTAACAGCTCCCTCAACACCGTGGCCAGCGCTAATATTAAATCCATTACACCTTCTGTTTGACATTTGCAGTACAGCAGAAAGTGCTGTAGATACAGTCACATTGTCTGGGGACTGAGATTGGATGTGGGGTTAGTAAGATGGTTTCCCTTGCCTGACTTCTAAATTCAGTTCATTGATAGGAAACTTGAACCAATAAAAAAAAAAAATCAAAGAATGTCCCCCACCCCTATCAACCCTACACTAGATTGTAAATAATTCACCCTTAAAGGTACAAGTTTATCTTAGATCTCAGCAATTCTTGAAACAAAATAATGATCTGATCCTCAGATAAGTTTTTAAATTCTTTATTGTTATTCCTAAACATGTATGCGTCTAATTATATCACTTATTGTGGAACTGTCTAATGAATTCAGAGGAACTGCGTTCCTGTAGAATTGAGGGCTGATCAAATTTACCACGGCACAGACGCGAAAAGAGAAAATGCAGATTATTTCCATTCAGGCAAGGAATCAACTGCTTCAATTTTGCTTGTCTTTAAAATATTCAGGACACAGAGTGGGCATAATAGCATAAAGATCATACTGTACAATGATTATCTTAGCCCCCTGTAATAGGGTAGCTCTGTCTGAAACTTTAGTCGGAGCATGATAACCTCTATTTTAGACCATCAATGGTTAACCATGCTGCTGTAGTTATTCTTGACCAAAAGTACTGTCTCATACGTTTTGCTAAATTGTCTAAATCCTGGTGCGGTATTGATTTCTCTCTCTATGAGCTCCTACCCATTCAATAAGCTGCAAGAACCTCTTGTCCTGGCTGAGTTCCCTCTGAAGCAGGACCCAGGTATATGACTCCCGCCAGTGCTCCTACAGTGGGGACTTGATTGTTAGCTCGTGGGAAACAAACCACCGGAGACAGAAAGAACGTTTTATGTTAAAGTGAGAAACATGACAGGGAAAGTTGCTGTGAGGTTAAGTGGAAAAGCAGATTACCAGAAGCCTCTAGGTTATGATCTTATTTCAGAAAGACAGAAGATGACCCCCCCCAATACTACATCCATATAGATGTATGTGGATGTATATATATATATACATCCACATACACAGAAAATCTGGAAGGATAGGCATAGAGTATATGCATATGAACAGTGGTCATTTGTGGGTAGTGGGATGTGTGATGGTCCTTATTTATTTTCTGCATTCTCTAAAGTTTCACAATAAGAATGAATTAATTTAAGAATTAGGGGGGAAAAAAGGAGTAAAGCCCAATTCTATGACCTAACCTAGGGAATATAAGGAGATTTTTAAAGTTCCTCCAGGATTTCTTGAAAGAGCTACTTTTTTATTTATTAAGCATTTAAAGGTGCAGCTCTGAAATTTATTAAGAGTATATATAGCACTCATAATCCCCAGATTTAAGAATAATGAAAAGACACATTCAAATCTAGAGGGGAAAAAAAGGGACCACCCAGACATCCCATTCCAGAGGCTCTGTGCTCTCTCAGGTGTGAGAAGCTACAGGGCAGCCCAATCTCTTTCAAAATGTTTAGACCTCCATAGACACTCTAGAACTTTGTAACTATATAAACAAGGTAACCCACGTATTTTTCTTCTGCCTGCTATAAGATTTCTCTGAAAGAAATACCTGTATTGACTAAACTATGAATAACTATGCATACATGTAAAAGATTTATTTGGGTTTTCAACAGTCAAGAAATGCCCCCTCCCGCCCCCCGCCCCCGGCCCCATTATCTTGAGACTGGTTCAAGACAAGACAATCACAGGGCTGGCAGTTCAGAGAAAGAGAATTCCTATTATGGCACAGTATCTCTGCCTCTTAGGCTGGTTTAGTCACTTATTTCCTTTTATTCTAATGCCAAATGTTATTTAGATTTCAGTCACTTAGTAATGCTACGCTGAACACATCAGGGCTTCTGGAAAAGTCCATACCTTCATTTTCATAATCACCACATACTGATATCCCCTTTCCAACAAAATTACACTACTATTTAAAAAAGAATCTGTGTTTCATCAGAGTTTAAAAGATTATGTTGCAATGAACAAGTCCTCAAAAATGTCCTCTCATATTATTATGAATTAGGAAATCCTGTTAAAATTCTTTCAGCCTTTAAGAAACATAAGCAGCTTTGGGATGTAGTGCCTGACATGGACTTTTGAAAGTAATTCCCTTGGAGCAGTGTTAGTTAAAGGTAGCGCCCTACCCTGCTTTTCAGTATTTAAGCAGTCAATCTAATTGCCCTTTAAGCCTAAGACCGAAAAGAACCAAGGCTACAGACATTAAGGCAAAGTAAGTTTCACATTTTGTAATGGTAAGAGCTATACTCTTCATCAAGGAAGAGAAACCTTTCTTATGCCACTGTTGCTAATGAACCCCAGTGGTTAAGAAATGTAGGAAGCAGAATTTTCAATTTTACTAGTTAGGATGGTTCCAAGAAGGCTGGGAGAGCAGGGGAAGGAAGCCCAAGTAAATTGTCAATCATACTTCAGTACACGACAGAGTAATGACAGAGTAACCTTAAAGAATATACGTCATTCTCCTCCTAACAGTGTGCGTAGAAATGTTTTATGCATCCTGGAGACTCCTGGAAGGCATGGGATTGATCAGAGTTCTTATAATCAATCTTAAACCAGTCTGATTTTGACTCTAGCTTATGATATCCCAGCAGAACTGGTTTACAGGCAGTGAATTTTTTTTTTCTCCCGATCAAAGTCTTTTCCAAGTGACAAGTTACCCTTAACATGTGTTTGGGGAGCCATCAAGTTCAATATGAATCAACAGTGTGGTCTGGCTGCCAAGAGGACCTAATTCAAACTTAGGCTGTCTTAGCAGAAGTACGGTTACCTAAACCAAGAGAGGGGACCGTCCCTCTGCTTTGTACTAGTCAGAACACACCCAGAGGGCTGCACGGCGTTCTCAGAACCATACTCTTAGAGGGTCATGAACAAACTGAGGCATGGCCGGGGGTGGGTGACTAAGGTGGTGGGGGTCTCAGGAACATGCCACTGCATAATGTTTGTGGGATGAAGGGTTGTTTGACCTGGAATGGAGAAGGAAGGCAGGAGGGAAGGGAGAATTTGGTATATATCTGACTTCATGTATTTGAGAGGGTGGATGGAAAGGAATGAGTAGATATGAAATGAGATCCCCAAGGACAGACCTGGGATCAGTGGGGAGAAATTATGGCAAAGCTAGGTTTTGGCTCCATATTCAAAGAACTTTTCTCTCGGAGCTGTTCGCCAATGGGACAGGCAGCCTTGAGGTTTCTGAGTTTTCCACTGTGGTGGTTCCAGCCGAGCCTGGAAGGTTAGCTATTGGCTTTGACATAGAGGGATGGCTTCCCTGATCTAAGACTGGAGATTGTCTAGGCTTGATAGTGAGTCAGGGAAACAACGAGGGTTTTATAAACCTGAATTCTTATACATTGAGTGTTGAGGAGTATTAGCAATCCAGGTTTCCTAATTCATCTCCAGAAGGAAAGAGTGAGAAACTATTTTGATGTGCTGTTTCTCAAGTCTGCCCAGATATGAATATTCAAAAGACGAAAATGCAGTTTCAATGATCTCACAGACAAATCTATTTAGTGACATTGGTGAGCAATGGTAAAAGAAGATAGGACTTCCCTGGGAACACGATTATTTTCATTTTAAAATGGTTAAGAGTAGTCTTCAGTACTCTCTCTTCTAATGCCCCATGCTCACTGGAGAAAGACACTCACCAATCCTGTAGAATAATGCCCTAGAAACTGCAGTTAACTTACACAAGGAAACAGGCATTGGTTTTAGATAGAATTAAAATATTTCCAAAGAGCCAAATATGGTTTTTTTCCCCATCTGTGTGAGCAAACACACTGTGATTATTTTTAAGCAGGTTAAATTTAAGTATTTTCTTAGAATCCTTTTAATATTAATCTTAAGATGGGTTGTTTTCTACTTTTCTTTCTATAAAATGAGTTTGTGTTGCAAGTCTGTTTTAAAACAACATATCAAGTAAAGTAGAGGCATCTTTAAAGAGTGCAAAAATAATTTCCCAAGTAAGCAAATAAAACTTTGCACTTCAAATCAGGCCTTGATTCATTAAAAATCTTAAACTTCTCATGAGAAAAATTAACATTTAAACCACTGCTGCTTGGCCAAGCACTCCACCACACAAGAATATGAAATATCTCCTCTAAAAAAGTACAAAAAGGACAAAACCACAAATGTGGAACTTCAATTAATTTAAAGCCCCAATCAGCAAAGAATAAATCCTTCGCAGATCTAATTACCAGCGCTCTCGGAAGACCCAGGCCGACCAGCCAATCTTCCCCGTGTTTGAACAGCTTGATGAACTAGGGGACTGATGGATATCAAGTCATTTTGTTTAATTTATAAATGGATTTTCCCCTAATACTTAAATTATCATCAGTACAACACAATGAAAATGGGAACATTCTGAATGCAAAGTCTATAAGAGTCCTGGAAGGAATCCCAATGAGGAATGTCACCTCTGTTCATTCCTCTATACAATTGATCTAATTAAATACTGAGGGTAGAAAGGCAGTTTAAAATGTAGCCATTTCTGTTTTCTTTTTAGCCTTAATTTATCTGTTCACATCTTTCAAGTACCTTCTGATGCTTACAAAAAAAAAAAAAAAAAGAAACCAAGATTTCTGTAAGTCCCTAATATTTTAAATTCTCTACAAGCTAATATTCAAGAAGAATTTATCATAGATTTTGGTGAGTAATAAATAAATGCACTACATTTAGCCACGGTAACAAGACAAGGAAGAGGGCTTTCCAAATCGGAACATTTTCCCTCTAGTAATCTGAAAGGGGAACTCAAAGAACTAGTGCCTTCTTTATGTATTGTTCAACTGAAATTAGATCTCTGGATTATACTTATTAAAATGTCTCCTTATTTTCAAATCCCTTCCTTATTTAATTACTGCACGGGACAGAAAGCTGCACGGAATTGTTAACTACCATTAGACCTATTTATAGTCTCTTCACACTGGTGACTTGAGTGCAAGCATTGGCAAAGGTCCTGCCCACCGTCCCCCACGTCGGGATCAATTCCCACCTGGCTCAGGGGTCTCCGACTGGGAGGAGGAAGATGCCGAGCTGGCTCCGTCCTCAGCAGTGCCCTGCGAGAGGAGACCCCGCCCCGGCGGGAGCTTCATGCCCAGCTGCTCTGCCATCTCCACGTGGTCCCCTGGGTGCACGTAGTCAAAGACGCTGCTGCCTGTCAGCTCCACCTAGAGGGGGAAGAGAAAGGGTGGGAGAGAAAGGCGTCAATGGCTTTTCTGCTCTCAAATTCAGCACCCCCGTGATTCAGATCTGGAGCGGAAAAGGAGACAGAAAGACGCAGACCCCAGAACCAATCTCAGTTCTGAGTCTCCGTCCTTAAATGCTGAGGATTCCTCAAGTTGAAAGAGAAAGGTTTTTGGGTTTTTTCTTTTCTTCTTTTTTTTTTTTTTTTTGATACGTATTAATTTAGCAATTGTTTAGCCCAGTTTTGTTTTGTTTTGTTTTGTTTTCCCTCGTACACCGTTTACATAAAGCCAAAACATCGTGTGGACTGTGGAGGACCCTGCCTGGCGCACAGCTGTTTTATGCGGGCATCATCAAATACTCGCATGTTTCGTGTCAACCGGATGATTGACTGAACTCTACGGTTTTCTTCTTGAGAAGTTGGGGGCTTTGTATAGAAACAGCCGGAGATAGCGGATGAGTATTTTCCTTAGAACACACCGAATTCCAAGATGTGTATTTATACATATCAGCTTATTTCTATGTAAATTTAGATGAAAGAAGGGCTGCTTACAAATATATGCAAAGGCATAATGTTTTCATTAAATATTACTCATTAGCACCGTAATCATATGGAGAATTTTCCATGCAAGAGAGGTCAGCTGGGGTCTGAACCAGCCATTTTTTTTTTCTGCTAGTATCAGCTTGTTTTGCCCTCAATCTAATAAGAGACATGGTACAAATCTCCTTGAGGGCCTTAAGAAAAGGTTTTATTTTGTATACTCTTAGCATCAGGTGGATTCTAAAGGTAGAGAGTGAATATCAACGATCAGAAAAGGGTCAGCCTGCCAGGGAGGGATGGCCTGTTTCCCTGCTGTCAGGCCTGGCCCCTGTCTCGGCTGCCTGCTGTCTAACAGATTGGCCTGATCCCTGTGATCTGATGGTATAATTCTTCCCTTCTAAAATAATGCTGGGTTCAATGTATTACGACCGGGACAGATAGGTCAACAAGAGAACAAGAAAAAGCTCTTTCTGGGGTCCCTGATGGGTGGGGGTTTCATGGTCTCAGGCCAGATCTGATGTCCCCCGTGCCAGAAGTTCAGAAGATCCTAAGTTTCTTGCTGGATATTTACCCAGAACTCCTTCCTACCCTCCTAGCCCTTTCCTGCGTCATGTGCGGCATCCCTCCAAATTCCACCTGAGAGCCTGTGGTCTTTTTCTTCCAAGAAGGAAGCTTGGCAGTGGGCGAACTGTCACAGAGAGCGAAATACCCAGAGCAATTATTAGCCCCGGAACTCCAAGTCCCAGTAAAATGATCACATCTACTTCCAGACACCATTTGATTAAAATCGTAACGGGCTACACATCTTCAACATCTATCAATTAACAGGAGGAGACCCAGAAAAATGGGAGGCTAAATTCAGTTTGGTTAATAGCTATTCCTGAAAAAGCCTCGCATAACTTTTACCGAAAATGAGGTGCTTTCTCTTTGCTATTAAATTACACTCTCCTACCGTATTACCCGACTCCTGACTCTATCATTTTACAATAACTATTTCCTCCATTTGATATTGTTACAGAGCATAAATCAGGATTCATAAGTGATCAGTTCCTACCCTCTGGGAGGGAGGGATTACATGGAAATAATCCCTTTAATGTGCGCCTTGCCTCTAAGCATTTCACACAGCAATAAATGGGTAAACTGACTTTGAGCAATTAAGAAATTAAATGAAACTAATAAAATGTGTGTTTTAATATTTCTTGATGGTTATTTTGTTTGGGGATTAGCGAAGATGAGGAAGTCACTGGCATTTTGCAGGGAGTCCAATAGTGGCACTTTAATATTGCTGTCACTTCTCAAACACTGAGTCTTCCTTTAATACTGCAATGTGCCTTTTGACACAGACCACAGATTGTGATAAGATGACAACACAGGTGGGAGATTAATAGATTTTTTAGGGGTGCTGGCTACTGAATATTCATGGAAGCTGGTCCTAACGGCGGTGAAGAGGAGTAGACCGCTGTCTCCACAGCCTGCTTGGCTTGGTGATGCAGGCATTTCCTTTCCATAATATAACAGCCCAAATATAGCACATCGAGAGCAAGACTGAGGCGTGACATGCCGCATCACATTCCCCCAGTGCCCTCCAGGGGTGTGCCACCAGGTACTCCAGAGTCTAACCCTGGACAAAAAGGCTGGCACTGGGAGTCTGATTCCATCCCAATCTCTCTGTGTGTGCTCTACTCAAGGTCACACGGCACAGGAGAAGGCACAAACTACCTGGGGTCATAACTTGACTGGGAGATCAGAATCCCTTCCTCCTCTGCTGTGTCATCTTGGACCTGTCACTTAGGCTCTCCTTGGGCAGTAGTTTCCTTTTTGGAACTGGCACTGGCAGTTCTGCTGCTCTGTGGGACTTGGGGGGACACCACTCACACTGTATGCTACATGGAGGGGGGCACCCCCTGGAGCATCCTTCCATGGCAATGGTGTAAGGCAGTGGCCCTGAGAGCTGAGCTGAAAACAAGACTTCTCTACCTGCCTCAAAGCCTGATTTTGAAAATCTAGTGAAACCATGCCAAGGAAATCACTTTTTAAGACAAAAGCAACATAATGCCTGCTGCCTCCGCCAAACCGCGTTTGGTGGGTGACAATGGGTGACACCAGGACACCTGGGTGGTTCAATTGGTTAAGCGTCTACTTTCAGCTCGGGTTGCGATGATCTCAGGGTCCTGGGATCAAGTCCTCCATTGGGCTCAGCAGGGAGTCTGCTTCTCCCTCTCCCTGCTGCTCCCCCTGCCTGTACCCACTTTCTCTCTCTATGTCAAATAAATACATAAAATCTTAAAGAAAAAAAAAAAAAGAATGGATGAAGCCCAGATACGTGCACTCTTATGTAACTATGGTGAGGAGATCTTATGGTTTGGGTGGTGGCTTTGGGACCTGGCTTTACTCAGAGGGTGCAGCAGGCGTGATTCATGCTTTGAAACCCAACTACATGAGTAATGCTCTGGGGAGCTACCCACTGCTGTATAGGAGTACTTTCCATACTTTTCTGGGATTAATTCTCATACCACTCTTTTCAAGTGTTCTGATGTCCTGTTTTACAGAAGAACTTGAATACTAGAAGAGGCTAACAGTGGAGGTGGAGTTTGGTTCCAAGTCTGCCTTGTCATCCTACCACTTCTCGGAGAGCGCATCTGCAGTCAGGGAGGCCTAGCGAGTGGGGACCTCTGAGCTCCACCACCCTGGAGCTCCACTTCCGTTCAGGAGCACAGGGGTGGAAGGAAGCTGGGGGAGGCAGACAGCCTGCCCAACGCCAGGCCTGAGGATGCTTGGCCTTCAGACTCTCGGGCCAAAAAAGGGCACGAAAGCAGGTATACTAAAGGGAGGTAGACCTAGGGATGGACAAAAGTGTCTTGAGCCTGGAGTCCTCCTCCTCCTCTTCCTCACTTCTCACATCTGTCTAGTACTTTTCATGTTCCTCGCACTACTTTTCTCTTTACTTTCTTAGATTTTAAAGCTGGGAGAGACCCCGGCTAGAACTCACCTGTCACTAAATTCTGCACCTCAAAGTACACTGCAGGAACCCAGAATGGGGATCTTTCACTTGGTGAACACACATGACTTCATGCTACCTTGAAACAGGAAAAATAAATAGAGCTCCAATCCAATGTTACTACAGTTAATTACATATCCTCAACTCCTCAGTGACCAAGTCTTCCAAAATGTCCCTGCTAAGAACTATGACTACTGTGTCCTACACAGCAGGTCTGTCACAAACGTTTGCCGAATAAATAAGAGAAAGATATTTAGGCCCGAAAATTTTTGCTTTATCTGTGCTTGATTTAGACAAGTTTCAGGTTGGTTCTTTTATATCATTCACGACATTATTATTATAACAGTATTTGACCTATAAAATGAGTTACAATAGAGCACCATGATATATTTATTTCCAGTAAATATTTGTCCAATGCATGGAGACCTTGACCGCCTTCTATAAAAGCCAACTGAGTTTAACTGTGGACAGGATTATAAAAATGCTGGGAAAGAACAGGTTTCAAGGCACTCTTTCACACAGCCAACTTCCATAACCCTCTCTCTTTAATCTATGGCAGAACTGTGGCTGGTTGGTTACCCAAATGTTCACAGAATTTCACAAAAATAGTTTCCTAACCATTCCTTCAAATTGATGGTAGAACTTCAGAGAAATTTCATTTTATATTAATTAGGATTTATGTAATGGAAAGGTATAGCCTTTCTCCCCTTAACATTGTGTTCTTCTGATGGGTGGAAGTGGGATGCTAAGGCAAATATGAGACCTTCTTCATTTTCTGGTAAGTCCAATCACCTATGTAGTGCTAAAAAAAAACCCCAGCCATGTTGTATTTATTTAACTCAAGAAACAGACCCATGGGACTCTCTAACCTAAGGAGGGACACTTGCTCACTGGGTCCCCCTCTAATCTCCCTGAGTGACGCATAGAGAAACTGCTCTCTCACATTGCTTAGATATTGGAAAACTGAGAATGTACGAGGGGCAGGAGCCAGGCGATGAGTAATGAGCAGTCATATCCAGAAAGAGCATTTGGTCTAAATTCCTTTCTCCCTGAGTTTCCCCATTCAAGCTTACCTGCCATAGATTCCCCCAGAACAGAGTGTAACTAGGAGTGCCATCTGCACAGTCAAGCTAAACCATGGCTTTCCTCAATGTTAATTCACATTCTGTTAGCTTGCATGCAATTTGCACACTAGACACAGTTGATTTGGTAACTCTGAAGTTTCCCAGAAAAAAAAAATTAAATATATTATACAGTGTTTGAGTTGACTTTTCCATGTAGGGTCACTGTACCCTGCTGGTAGATAGGATGGGGGACTAATTTGTCTTTTCATACATCAAGCAAGCATGTCAATAGCCTTTGCTTGGCCCCCTGAGGTGAGCAAATACTTTTTAACTACAGCTGTGTACTAACAGTGTAACTCATTGCATTCAGGGTTCCTTTGG